TAAAAGCTATCTATGCTAAATCCAAGGCCAACATCATTCTAAATGGAGAAAAACTGGAACAAGACAAGGATGTCCTCTTTCACCCCTCCTATTAAACAACATCCTTGAAACTCTAGCCAGAGCAATTAGACAAAAGAAATTAAAGAGATACAAATAGGTAAAGAAGAACTCAAAATATCACTATTTGCTGATGACATGATTCCATAGATACAAGATCCAAAAAATTCCACCAGAAAACTTCTAGAACTAATAAGTGAATTCAGCAAAGTAGCAGGGTATAAAATCAACACCCATAAATCAAACACATTCCTATATATCAGTGATGAATTCACTGAAAGAGAAATTAGAAAAACTACTCCATTCACAATAATCTCAAAAAAAAAAAAAATACCTGGGAATCAATCTAACAAAAGAAGTGAAAAACCTCTACAATGAAAACTACAGAACACTAAAAAAAGAAATTGAAGAAAACCTCAGAAGATAATCTCCTATGCTCCTGGGTAGGCAGAATTAATATTGTCAAAAGGGCCATACTACCAAAAATGTTATACAGATTTAATGCAATTCCCATTAAAATCCCAGTGATATTCTTCATAGAAATAGAAAAAGCAATCATTAAATATATTTGGAAAAATAAGAAACACAGAATAGTTAAAGCCATCCTTAGCAAGAAAAGTCAAGCAGGAGGCATCACAATACCAGATCTTAAACTATACTACAGAGCAAAAGGAAATTAAACCTGTATCTCTCACTCTGCACAAAAGTCAACTCAAAGTGGATCAAAGACTGAGGTACTAGAAGAGAGACCCTGTGCCTAATAGAAGAAAAACTAGGCCCAAATCTTAACCATGTTGGCCTAGAATCAGATGAATGGATAAAAAAAATGTGGTATATATACATACTCAATACTACTCAGCTTTAAAGAAGAGTGAAATTATGGTATCTGCCAGTAAATAGATGGAGTTGGAGAATATCATGCTAAGTTAAGTAAGCCAATCCCAAAAAATCAAAGGCAGAATGTTTTCTCTAACATGTGGATGTTAATTCACAATGAGGGGGGCAGGGCACCAGAGAAGAATAGCRTGACCTTAGATTAGGTAGAGGGACGTGAAGGGAGGGGAGGGGAGGGGACGTGGGAGAGGAAAGAGAGTAGAATGAAACAGACATTGTTACTGTATGTATATATGTGACTCATGACCAATATGAGTTTATCGTTTTCAGAAATTGGTCAGTTCAGTTTGACTCATTCCTTAGAAGCCTCATCAAAATTATCCGCAAGATCTAGAACTTCATCACCGTCCTCTCCAGTAGCAAGTGGTGCCTTTCCATCCACAGATTGTGTGGGCAGGGTTCAGCCAGTCTCCTTAATCCCATCAGACTGCCTGCAGGGCTCCTTCAAGACCGGTATCGGGCAGCACTTGGGTCGGTGGCTCTGTCTCAGCGTGGCCTGTACTGGTGGAAGTGTTTGCTGCCACAGACGCCTGGACTTGAGGGTTGTTAAGGTGGACCGCTGTTCCTTGGTCTGTAAACGTATTCCCGTCTTCAACACCGGAGATGTTGTTTACTCCTAACTTCTTTAAGCAGAGTTGAAGTTTTTTACCATCTGCGGTAGCTCTTCTACGAACTGCGGTCTTCTTTCAGCAAGCAGTTCCTTCCCACCAATGCACACGGTGCCTGCAGTTTGGTTKTTCCTGGTTTGTGACAGTTTCTTTCACCTTGCCAGAGTGGAAGTGGGGCCGCGTGGGGAGACAGGGCTGGCGCTTAGCGGGTCTCTGGCAGRGCAGCTGAGATTAGGCACACACACGTGGGGACACAAGATCAGGAGAATCTTATTAGCACAGTTATGCTCCATGAAAGGGACACTGTCCATCTGTGTAGGAAATGCACCCATAGAGGGTCCAATTTAAAAGAATGCATTGGTAGAGGGTCCAGTTAAAAAGGGGTCATCGAGTAAAACTCACTCAGTGGAGCACCTCCAAGATGCATTCCCAGAGCTCCTTGTTAGACTAGATTCCTTCTGGGCAGGGTGCAGGGAGAGGGTGCATCTCCCTTCCAGATTAGACCACCCTGCAGGCTTTCCAGGTGACAGAACTGTGTGTCTACCTAAAGGGAGTATCAGCAAGAATGGGGCAGTGACAACCTCGCCAAAAGTTCCTGACCTCAAGGACAGGCCAGCTACACCGATCTCAGAGCCAGTGTCCTTCCCAGTGGCAACTGTCCACCTGGCTCTGGGAAAGAAGCGTGGGGCAGCCGCTGGCCAGGTCACAGCCAGCTGGCACACTTCTTCGGAACAGAATGGGTGGGAAGCACCCAGAGCCTCGGAGGAGCACCCACTTGGAAACTCCTAGTCCATGTGTAGAGTGGCCCTGACGTTGAGGACAGTGATCCAGGTCCCCCAAACTGGCTGACTCACATCACAATGACGACATGAGGTTCCACCACCCCCTCGTGGGCTTCCCATAGATCCTCACGGCAGCCTTACGTGGCAGGAATCATCCATCCCACAGATACAGACACTCAGCTTGGAAGGGGTTTGTCCCTCCCCGGGGTCAGCAGAAGACAGCCAGGGTCCTTCCCTGGGGCCGTCTGCCTGCTGCGTCTCCAGTCTTCTTGAAGGAGAGCACACTGTAAGACATCCCCCATCTTGGCCATGAAGTCATGGTCAATGGTTTCTGAGGTGTAGGGCCACCTCTGCCAACCTGATCCAAGACCCCTCCCTTAGGGCCAGATGGAACCACTTAGGGGGCCGCGGCTTAGAATGGAAGTGTGCACATTTGTATCATTAGTGGAAAAGAACCAGAAAGGAATAYGGATGAGAAAGGGGAAGAGGGAGGCCGGAAACCTGTGGGGAGAGAAGGAACTAGAAGAGCAAAGGGTCAAAAGTGACAGGAGGACCTCGTGGAAGGACCGGAAGTGAAGGAGAGCATCTGAGACAGGGGTGGTGGGCAGCTCCAGGGCCCAGGCCAAGCCCGCCCCCCTCTGCCTTCATTCACACAGAACCTCAGCCATGGAAGGAAGGCCTGCCCCACAGGGCGGTGATGCCCCTCACACTTTATCAAGCTCATGACCCTTGTCACTCAGGCCTGGAGAAAATAAAATAAGAAAGCACTTGTACGTGGCTCTTCTGTAAGATGCCTGTGGAGCCCAGCTGACGCACCTCAACTGCTCAGCACTTCCAGGCCGATTCTGTGTGTTTCATGTGCCTTGTCCCAGGCAGTGCCCACAATCACCTTGTGGCCCCACTGTGCAGAGCAGGGTCAGGGCCCAAGAGACAGCACAACCTGTCTAACTGCTGGGAGGTCCCGGGATCTAGCCTGGAGCAAGCACGTCCCCGGCTGTACTGTTGGGTTGTGGGCTCATGAGCATCTTCCCACGATAAGAAAATGGTCCGCCCATGCTCCTGGCCTTCCTGCAAGCACCTGCCAACCCTCAGAGGCCACCCCACCCTGCTCCCAGCCCCACTTCCATGCCCTATGACCATCCTCCCAAGGCCCCTCCCTGTGTGGACTCCCGTGCTCTCAGCAGGACACCACCCAGCAAGTGCACCGAGGCCAGCCAGACCTGGAGAGAGCCCGAGGCCACAGGCCCATGAGGGAGGCCACAGGCCCATGAGGGAGGCCAGCTGGGTCATGCCAAGGCTTCGGAACCAAACAACCTGAGGAGAACCTAACCTGATGCCAAGAAAGCACACAGTCAATCCTGGGCTTGGAGAGCTGGCCTGGCGGTTTGCAGAGGGGACGTGGTGAGCACTCGGTGTGAGAACTGGCAAATGGACACCACGGAGGGTCTTGAGAAAATGGTACACTCCAGCTCTTGAATTGAGCAAGCATAAGCAGCAGACTTAAAGTCCACCAGCACAGACCTTTTTATATTGGGGTACACTTAGCTTTCTCCCAACATAAGAAGGCAGTAGGAAGAGAGTAACTGGTTTCTTCTATCCTCACCCACTCTTCTCACATTTGTAGCATTGATACTTATGTAGTCTAATTTCCCCAACACAAAATTTTAAATACAACTCCTCCAAATAATGCAGTAGAACTGGGGTGAGTAGCTCAAAGCACCCTGAAATGACCTCAGTGAGACCCCACCAAGGGGCTGGGCTAGTCAGCGTGCCATTGCTGTTACAAATACATGATATGAGCCACCTGCAAAGAAGGGAAGGATGTGCCCACATCTTCAGAGGTTCAATCCATGGCTGGCTGGGGACCTTGCTTTGGGGCCAGCAGTGAGGCAGCACATCATGGTGGGTCCACAGGGTGGAGCCCCACTGCCAGGACTGGAGGACCACCCAGGAGTACCACACTAGGCACCACACCTGGGCCTCTGGGGACACTGATCCAAAGCACAGGAGGGGCAGTTCTCCCAACCTGAGGTTCTCAGACAACCCCAGGACACATAGGGAGCCAAGCTCCTTTTCCTCAGAGAGAAACAGTAGGGCTTCMCTGCATTCCAGCCCCTTCCTCATCCTAAAAGTCGTGAGATCAGAAATCGATGAATTTGAACTCCAATTTCACCTTTTCAAGATCAAGAAATGCTCACAGCCTCCACCTCTGGGCCTCTCCCGTGCGAAGGCGTCACACAACAGAAATGCACGTGAACGCAGCCTTGAAGAGTCTCATGTCCATTTTTCTACTTTCTTGGTTCGTTACAGACCCTCTGCGTGGCCTCCTTGCCTTATTTAACATTGTTTGTGAAGTGATGCGTTCTAAATAAAGCTCTCTTCACACCAACGTGAAGAACACTCAGCCAACACGTGACTCCGAGGGACGGGTCAGCCCTTCTCCCAGGAGCTACCAGGACCTGTTCCAAAGCACAGCGCCACCAACCACTTCTGGGAACAGGCTGGGTCTTCAGCCCTCTCTCTCTCTTAACAGAAAGGACACGTTTCCTTTGGGGAAACACAAGCCTCTTTCCTCAGCCAGAAAACCAGCATCCCACCTCCTGTCCACTTCAAAACCACAACCAGACACCACGGCACTAAGGCGAGTAGAGTCACTTACAGTTGAAGATGCCCGGAGGCGGATGCTCGGTCACCAGCAGACAGTTTTCTTCATCACTGTTGTCCCCACAGTCGTTCTGTTGGTTACAGACCAGCGAACCAAGATATAAGCATTTACCGCTGGTGCAGGTGAATTTGCAGTCTGAAAAAGTACAACAGAAAGCATGAGGAATCAGTACAAGCTGGGTGCTCAGAGCTGCCTCTGGGCTCTCCATCTGGATGTCCCAGGACACTGAACTTAGGGAAGGCACCTCACCTCCAGGTAAGGAGGTAAAACACACAGGGTCGGGCCCCCCGCACGGCACAGGAGCTCTGAGCTGCCTGCGRCACTACCCAAACCTGAGCAGCACATGGACGCCCTCCCTCTCCACAACCTGCCCTCCCTGCAAATGGGTTCTGTGGTTCCACTTGAAAACACCCTTGTCAATCAATTTTCCATACCTTCAAGGACGGGGGAAGCCCCCCAGCAGTGGCAGGGTCTCCAGCAGAACTCAGGAGTTCCTATTGAACTAAAGGGGGGCCCATGAATTTTATTTCTAAACTGCCATTTTGTTGTGGTGAAAGTCTGGGCAAAATATTGAAACCTCTCTGGTGTACATGCATCTCATGCCAAGCAAAATCCGCTTTACTAGCAGCAGAGGTAGCATTGGTTTTATGATGTGAAACACAGGCAAATTCTATGTGCTCTCTGCTACCTCAGAAGCATCTGTGTCAAGGGCCACGTTGATGAATTATAAAAATAGTATGAAGCAGGTCTGATGGTATATACCTGTAATCCCAGCCACTAGGGAGGCTGAGGTCAGTTCAAGGTCAGCCTGGGTGACTTAGCAAAACCCTGTCTCAAAATAAAATGAAAAGGGTGGAGGATGTAGTTTAGTGGGAGGGTTCTTTCCTAGCATGTGCTAGGCTTGGGGTTCAGACCTCTGAAATCTGTACAAATCAACATTTTAAGATGAAATTCACCTTAGCAAGACTTTAAAATAAATTTGCAAGCCCAGCACATTACTGTCACCTAGAGCAATTAAGGACAGAGGAAATTACAGCATGATATACAATCGGTCACATAAACATCCACATGGATCCCGTGCTGCAAATCACCTTGCATCTGACTGGGAATTTTCTCCTGGGAGTACTCACAGGGGTTGGCAGGAATCACAGAGGACATCCCGCCATAGATGCTGATAGAAAGAACCTCAGCAAGAGCCCTGGGTCCCCAGCTGACACTGACTGTCACAACCACTTCAGCTCCCCAGGCCTTGGTTTTCTCTGTCTGGAATAAGGGCAGCAAACCTGAACCAAGTCCAAGGTCATTTCAACTCTAACATTCCATTATTCAAATAAGACACTGGGCATCAGCATGGCCAGGCCTCTCCCAGCCCTGCTGACCATGTATGGGGCTGCACCAGCCGAGTCTATGTATCCCCAAGGGGCTAACTGCAGCCAGCAAAGAGGACAGCCCCTCGCCTGTCCTAAGAGACAGAACTCAGGTCTTCACTGTGTTTCTGGGAACACACACGAGACGAGGAATTAAAACCTGCCCTTTGCTCACATTCTGAAAGAGTGCAGAAAAAGAGAGCATGCAGAGCTCCGACCTCATTTAGAATAACAGGTGAAAGCAGCCCAAAAGCCCATCCTCAGGCTTATGGCCGGCTGCATCACCCAGGCCAGAGGACAGTGCTGAGTGACAGGTCCCGTGGTGAAAGTGGGCTCAAGCCAAATCAACTGCCCCTTGAGCTAGACAGGTACAACCCAGCTGCTCAGAATCATACTGATGAAGTGATCTTTTTTAACTCAATGGGGGAAAAAACGAATGTCCGGGAAACAATTTTATCTTCCTTTCCAAAAGAAATACTGGACTTCAGATTAATACCAAACCTGAAGAGGACATTAGCCCAAGACAGGTGCTCTCAGCACTACTAAATGATGACTGGGAAAACGGGGTACACCAACATGAAGGAATTAAACTCTAACTCAGACGTTGACCACCTCTGTGGGCTGAAAGGAGCAGAGGCCAGACCACCACATTCGAGGTCACGTGGAATTTTAAATGACCATCTCTGTGGGCTGAAAGGAGCAGAGGCCATGTTCAAGGTCACGTGGAATTTTAAACCAATAGGGAAATGAACCTGTTTCCACGCTACACTCATTTCAACTTGTTCCAAGGAAGGCAAGTCCAGACTAACACGTTTCTGAGGAAGTGAATTATGTGATTGATTCATTCACATAATCGATACTTTAGCCCCTTCTCTGTCATATGCTAGGTCCTGAGACCTGGAAACGCAGAGTTGAAAGAGTCTGTACTGTGCACTGTTTGTAAATGTGAACAGTGACTAATTCATCTGCTAGCTCCTTCCCAGGCCACTTTCATATCTGCCACCCAGCCTGAGATGGGGACTTGGTGAACCATGTCTTTGTGAGTTATCTGAGTCTCCTAAGAACCCCATGAAGTACTTAGGGCCGATATTGCTATTCCCACCCTACTCCCTTCTGCCCCACCCCACCATGCTGCCTCAGTTTCCCAACATTTCACAAATGTGGGAGTCTCGCCACGGACACGGTACACAGTGAAGGGCTCAGACAGCCTGATTCCTTAAGGAGGGGGAACGTGGCTCAGAAAGGCTTGAGTCACGTTCACTCTCCCTTCGTGGATAACAGCAATACCCACATCAACCCATTAACTTTCAAATTCACAAAAACTAAATCTTCTCAAAGGTGAGTCATGAGCCCGACATCAAACTGAAACGTCTTTCCATCACGTGGCCAGCTGAATCAAACTGACTGGGCTGGAAATCTGGATATATTAAACTTCTTGATTTGACACAGAAAATACTAGAAATTGTGATGAGGCCATTACGTGTTAAAGATGAATGCAAAAGTTGGAATGGAACTGAAATTGCAGACCATGGTAAAGCAGCTGTCCACATTAACAAAACACGTGTTAACAAAATAAATCCTAATGGTATGTATGACTATTATGAATCAATAGTAATAATTTTTTAAAAACTGGTGTTGGTAGAGGCAGGTTTCCAATTGGACCCTGACTCATGAAGGCCACCTCCACCACACTTTGCTACCCAAAAGCCCAGTGCATGCAGGTACTCTAATAAGTAGGTCATTGTGATATTTCCAGCAAGTCAATAACCCTACAAAGAAAGGCTCTTCCCTGAGCTGCCAGGGCATTGCCAGGGCCTCCTTTAGTACGACCCATGCCCAGTCCTAGCCAGGCCTCTGCTCTCACTGGCCCAGGGGCAGCCTGGGCAGCAGAGCTTTCTAGAACTCCTGAGGTGGGTTCCTATGGGCAGCCAAGACTGAGAACCACTGACCATCAAGAAGGTGGCAACTCACTTATAAAGTCCCTTCTTTAGCTAATCATATTTTAATAGAATGATCAGATGATATTGCTAATTTATAAAAAGTAAAACTAAAAACCAACCTCTTAAAACATAGGCAGGTATTGAGGGGAGAGGGCCTGGTTGCTGTGGCTCTGTTCTGTCAACGAGATACTTCAGAAGCTGGTGCCAAAGCAGTTTGACCCCTACACCACATTTGGACACACCAGAACAGCAACCCTCCTCAACAGAGTAAAACGCAAGTCAGAGAAAGAAGATAGGAAAACAAAGAAGATATTTTTATAATAGTTTGTCCATTCCTTATGGAACCTACCGAGTACTTCCACAAATCCAAACGTTGAGGGATACTAAGGATTGTTACTCACAAGGAACCCTGGGGGACAAAGTTAGGGTGACATCAGAAGCACAGCATTGAAACAGAACACAGAATGAGCAACTCAGGAACCAGAGTTTCCTTCAGAAGCCATAAGCTTACTAAAACCACTGGCAATGTTTAAAAAGTTCTCCTTCTTTAAAAAAAAATAGCCAGGAATTAGTGAAAGAAGAAAACAACATTGCTTTCTGCCATAATTTCCTATTTGATTTCTTATAAAAACTTCCAGAATCGACAACGGATTTGAGAGTCACTGCATCTTCTCCTAGTTAAAACAGAATTCTCTCCAAATCTGGGGTCTTCTTTAGCTTCTGTACATTTCGGCACACAGCTTCTGAAGAATCTTTCAGGGTCTTGGAACTACCTCAGAGGCCTCAGGATCAGAGCCGAGAGGGCCCCAGAGGTCCGCTGGTCCACCCCCATCTCACAGATGCAGAAACACATCTCAGAACCCCTGACCCACCCCATGTGGAAACCAGATTCCCTGTCATGGACAGAGAACCCAAGATTTCCATCAAATGGAGAGAAAAGTCTGCTTGTGCTGGATGTCCTTCTGATCATGCACAAACTAATATTAACCACGTGAGGCAAGCCCTGGGAGAAAAGAGAACGGGAAAGAACAATTACGAAGGTTTCCTAAAATTGTGTTACCCTTGAAGAAACAAGGAATTCTATGAGTCTTGAAACCAGGACAGAAGTGGAATATCCTAGTGTTCTCTGTGAATTCTAAACTTACATACCMAAAAAAGCTCTATTTTTAAAATTCCTGAGGACCAGTAGATGAACAATCCGAACATTCTAAACCTAATCTTAGGATTTAAAGATAAATGTTTAATCTTGGCTTGCAGAACAAATTCACCTCATAGAGACTAAATCTAATCCACTTGGTGGAGTCAACATTCTATGAAGTCAAAGGCAAAAAAAAAAAAAACCATAATAATAATAATAATAATAACAAAACAACAAAAAAAGTTGTGCTCCGTTTTTCCTAAACTCTTCTGAAGCCGTAGCTTTCACAGATACAATCTCAGTCACAAAATACGGACCTATACGCAGCATCACATCTCAGCTGTAAAGTCAGCCTTTTTTGTGAATTGGCAAAGTAGTCTATGTTAGTTATTTCTGCTAAAATTCATACAGCAACAGTGACTCATTTAGTTCACACTTCTACCATTCTTAAACCTGGGAGCCGACAGTGATTCTGGCTCCGTCGCGTCTGACATTTGAGTCTGAGACGCTCTCTGCAAAGGGGGCCTTCCCAGAGCACTGGCACAGTGAAGAGCACAGGGGCGCTGGGTAGGGGTAAGCGAGGAAAGAACCTCGTTCTAAAACTGGCATTCCTCATTCTGTCATCACCCACGTATAAAGAGGACAACAATATTGTTATTGATTTATGTAAAAATCCATACCACCCACTGC